GAGGCACTTTTAGCAGAGAAGCCCTTCAGGCCTAAGAGAGTGCCTAGCAGCTCTGAGTGCACACAACCCTCCAGAACTCTGTATACTTGGGGATAGGTTCAGTTTGATGTTAGAACCCAAACGCTCTTTGAAGAGGGCTTCTGCGGTTTAAAGTACAGTTTTCCCCGGGAAACAGCTTCTCTTGCCGCTTAGCCGTTTAAAGCGAAAGCGGTGAGTTTCATGGATGTGAAGTACTCCACAGAGAAAGGTGCTGCAACTCTGTGAGTTTACCCGTGAAGTCCACCTCTTATGTGGAGTACAACTGTATTCCTTTTTGATAGTATTTCTCTGCCTAGCGGAGATTGAAACACTGTTGTGAGGCCCTTTTAGCGGAGAAGCCCTTCAGGCCTAAGAGAGTGCCTAGTAGCTCTGAGTGCACACAAGCCTCCAGAACTCTGTATAATTGGGGTAGGTTCAGTTTGACGTTACAAACCAAACGCACTTTGCAGAGGGCTTCTGCGGTTTAAAGTGCAGTTTTCCATGAAAACGGCTTCTCTCGCCTCTTAGCCATTTAAAGCGGAAGAGGTCAGTTTCGTGAATGAGAAGTACTCCACAGAGAAATGTGTTGCAACTCTGTAAGTTTACCAGTGAAGTCCAGCTCTTATGTGGAGTAAAAGTGTATTCGTTTTTGTTTGAAGGTCTCTGCCTGACAGAGATTGTAACACTGTTGTGAGGCACTTTTAGCAGAGAATCCCTTCAGGCCTAAGAGAGGGCCTAGCAGCTCTGAGTGCAAAAAAGCCTCCACAACTCTGCATACTTGGGGATAGGTTTATTTTGACATTAGAACCCAACCGTTCTTTGCAGAGGGCTTCTGCAGTTTAAAGTGCAGTTTTCCTCGGGAAGCAGCTTCTCTCAACGCTTAGCTGTTTAAAGCAAAAGCGGTCAGTTTCCTGAATGTGAAGTACTCCAAAGAGTGAGGTGCTGCAACACTGTGAGTTTACCAGTGAAGTCCCCCTCTTATGTGCAGTACAACTGTGTTCCTTTTTCTTTGTAGGTCTCTGCCAGGCAGAGATTGAGACACTGTTGTGATGCACTTTTAGCAGAGAAGCCCTTCAGGCCTAAGAGAGTGCCTAGCAGCTCTGAGTGCAAAAAAGCCTCCAGATCTCGGTATACTTGGGGAGAGGTTCAGTTTGATGTTCGAACCCAAACGCACTTTGCTGAAGGCTTCTGCTGCTTAAAGTACAGTTTTACCCGGGAAACAGCTTCTCTCACCGCCTAACCGTTTAAAGCGAAAGCGGTGAGTTTCATGAATGTGAAGTACTCCACAGAGAAATGTGCTGCAACTCTGTGAGTTTTCCAGTGAAGTCCCCCTCTTGTGTGGAGTACAACTGTGTTCCTTTTTGTTTGAAGGTCTCTGCCTGGCAGAGATTGAAATACTGTTGTGAGGCACTTTTAGCAGAGAAGACCTTCTGGCCTAAGAGAGTGCCTAGCAGCTCTGAGTGCAAACAAGCCTCCAGAACTCTGTATACTTGGGGTCGGTTCAGTTTGACGTGAGAACCCAAACGCTCTTTGCAGAGGGCTTCTGTGGTTTAAACTGCAGTTTTCCGAGGGAAACGGCTTCACTTGCCACGTGGCCTTTAAATCTAACGCGGTCAGGTCGTGAATGTGAAGTACTGCACAGAGAAAGGTGCTGCAACTCTGTGAGTTTACCAGTGAAGTACACCTCTTATGTGGAGTACAACTGTATTCCTTTTTCTTTGTAGGTCTCTGCCTGGCAGAGATTGAAACACTGTTGTGAGGCACTTATGGAAGAGAAGCCCTTCAGGCCTAAGAGAGTGCTTAGCAGCTCTGAGTGCACACAAGCCTCCAGAGCTCTGTATACTTGGGGATAGGTTCAGTTTGACGTTAGAACCCGAACGCACTTTGCAGAGGGCTTCTGTGGTTTAAAGTGCAGTTGAACCCAGGAAACAGCATCTCTCACTGCTTAGCCGTTTAAAGCGAAAGCGGTCAGTTTCATGAATGTGAAGTACTCCACAGAGAAAGGTGCTGCAACACTGTGAGTTTGCCAGTGAAGTCCACGACTTACGTGGAGTACAACTGTATTCCTTTTTGTTTGTAGGTCTCTCAATGGCAGCGATTGAAACACTGTTGTGAGGCACTTTTAGCAGTGAAACCCTTCAGGCCTAAGAGAGTGCCTAGCAGCTCTGAAGGCACACAAGCCTCCAGAACTCTGTATACATGGGGATAGGTTCAGTTTGACGTGAGAACCAAAACGCACATTACAGAGGGCTTCTGCGGTTTAAAGTACGGTTTTCCCCGGGAAACAGCTTCTCTCGCCGCTTAGCCGTTCAAAGCGAAAGCGGTCAGTTTCATGAATGTGAAGTACTCCACAGAGAAAGGTGCTGCAACTCTGTGAGTTTACCAGTGAAGTCCACCTTTTATGTGGAGTACAACTGTATTCCTTTTTGTTTGTAGGTCTCTGCCTGGCAGAGATTGAAACACTGTTGTGTGGCACTTTTAGCAGAGAAGCACTTCAGGCCGAAGAGAGTGCCTAGCAGCTCTTATTGCGCACAAGCCTCCAGAACTCTGTATACTTGGGGAAGGGTTCAGTTTGACGATAGAACCCAAACGCACTTTGCAGAGGTCTTCTGTGGTTTAAAGTGCAGTTTTCCTTGGGAAACAGCTTCTCTCGCTGCTTAGCTGTTTAAAGTGAAAGCGGTGAGTTTCATCAATGTGAAGAACTCCACAGAGAAAGGTGCTGCAACTCTGTGAGTTTACCAGTGAAGGCCACCTCTTATGTGCAGTACAACGGTATTCTTTTTTGTTTGTAGGTGTCTGTCTGGCGGAGATTGAAACACTGTTGTGAGGCACTTTTAGCAGAGAAGCCCTTCAGTCCTAAGAGAGTGCCTAGCAGCTCTGAGTGCACACAAGCCTACAGAACTCTGTATACTAGGGGATAGGTTCAGTTTGACGTGAGAACCCAAACGCACTTTGCAGAGGGCTTCTGCGGTTTAAAGTGCAATTTTCCCCGGAAAGCAGCTTCGCGCGCCGCTTAGCCATTTAAAGTGTAAGCGGTCAGTTTCGTGAATGAGAAGTACTCCACAGAGAAAGGTGCTGCAACTCTGTGAGCTTACCAGTGAATTCCAGGTCTTATGTGGAGTACAAGTGTATTCGTTTTTGTTTGAAGGTCTCTGCCTGCTAGAGATTGTAACACTGTTGTGAGGCACTTTTAGCAGAGAAGCCCTTCAGGCCTAAGAGAGTGCCTAGCAGCTCTTAGTGCAAAAAAGCCTCCAGATCTCGGTATGCTTGGGAATAGGTTCAGTTTGACGTTAGATCCCAAAGGAACTTTGCAGAGGTCTTCTGCGGTTTAAAGTGCAGTTTAACCCTGGAAACAGCTTCTCTCGTGCTTAGCCATTTAAAGCAAAAGCGGTCTGTTTCATGAATGTGAAGTACTCCACAGAGAAAGGCGCTGCAACTCTGTGAGTTTACCAGTGAAGTCCACGTCTTATGTGGAGTAGAAATGTATTCCTTTTTGTTTGTAGGTCTCCGCCTGCAGAGATTGAAACACTGTTGTGAGGCACTTTTAGCAGAGAAGCCCTTCAGGCCTAAGAGAGTGCCTAGCAGCTCTGACTGCACACAAGCCTCCAAAACTCTGTATACTTGGGGATAGGTGCATTTTGACATTAGAACCCAAACGCTCTTTGCAGAGGGCTTCTGCGGTTTAATGTGCAGTTTCCCAGGGAAAGAGCTTCTCTCGCCGCTTAGCCGTTTAAAGCGAAAACGGTCAGTTTCACTAATGTGAAGTACTCCACAGAGAAAGGTGCTGCAACTCTGTGAGTTTCCCCGTGAAGTCCACCTCTTATGTGGAGTACAACTGTATTCCTTTTTCTTTGTAGGTCTCTGCCTTGCAGAGGTTGAAACACTGTTGTGAGGAACTTATGGGAGAGAAGCCCTTCAGGCCTAAGAGAGTGCCCAGCAGCTCTGAGTGCACACAAGCCTCCAGAAA